ATGCCTGAAATACTCTCATGGGCTTTTCAGCCAAATCAGAATGCCTTTAGGGCTGATTCTGAGGCCAGAGTGCTGTTTAGGACATCCGCCATTCTATGAGTCTGCTGAGTATCTCGCTTCCCATGTTGGATCACTCTCCCCTTTATTTATTCTATCGGTTAGTATTAGCAGGTACTAGACTTGTTTATGTGCTTCCTTTGACTCTTAGTCCTCAAAAATATATTTTAAGAATATGTACTTTTAAATAATCAAAGAGTTTAAAAGGCTTTATAGTTCTTATCTACATATAACCAAATATTGTCTTATGAAAAACAGACTGGTTACCACTAGTAGTAGTACATAAATATATTATTAATATTTATATTTATTGAAGACAAACATCATATATTCCTAATATTTATGTTTTTCATAGCATCTGTGACAGAGCCTAATATAATTCACAAGTAACTATCTAATTGCTTCTGACATTTAGAATGTAGTAAACTATTTAAATTTTTATTACCAATATATTCCATACTTACTGTAGAAAGTATAAAAGTGGAAAGGAAAAAAGAAAATTAAAAGATAGCCAGTCCTTCAACCCTAATGTAATGTAATGGTTGATATTTTTCTGAGCTATTCTTTGCCTGAGATAGTACTCATTCTTTTGAGTAATCCATAAGTGGACTGAATCTGAGGTGCTAATTTTGCAATGTGTTATATTCCCTTACCAAGTGCTCACTTTGGCAGCACATACACTAAAGTATTACCTTACCAAAGTTTAGCTTCATGTATTTTGCTTAATCGTAGGTCGTTTTCCTCCTACCAAAGGGAAGGCCTATATTGATGGGTATGACATTTCAAGTAACATAATCGAGATTCGAAAAAACTTGGGCTTCTGTCCACAGCATGACTTGTTTTTTGATGACTTGACAGTATCCGAACATCTTTTTTTCTACTCTGTGGTGAGTCTGAGATATATTTTATAAAATTGTACAGTAAATTTGACATTTTACCTTTTAATATGTATACAGATCTGTAAATTTTAACACATTTAACCAACACTGCAATCAGGAAACAGAACAGTTTCATTATTCCAAGCACCCCCTCATACTATTTTTTGTTGTTATCCCTCTTCCCTCTTACATCCACTGGTCTATTCTTCATCACTATAGCTTTGTCTTTTTGAGAATATCATAGAATGGAATCATGGAGTCTGTAACATCTTGAGATTGGCTTCTTTCAGTGAACAACTGCCTTTGAAATTCATCCATGCTGCTGTGTGCATGGATAGTTTGTTCCTCTTAATTGGTAAGTAGTATTTCATGTTTGGATATACCAAGATACACCAATGTAAGGGACATTTGGATTGTTTTAAATTTTTGAAGATTTTGGATAAAGCTTCCCTGAATTTTGTGCACATGTTTTTATTTAAATGTGAAACAAGTTTTTTTGCTCTCAGAGTAGGATTACTTGATCATGTATGCATTTGTTTTTAAGAAACTGACACTGTTTTCCAGAGTAGCCATATTGGTTTGCAATTCCCAACAGCAATGTATGAGGATACCAATTGCTACACATTCTAGCCAGTGTTTGGGATTGTCAATACTTTTAAAAAAGTGTTTTAATAAGTATATAGTGGTATTTAGTTGTGCTTTTAATTTGCATTTCAGGTTTTAATAAGTGTATACTGGTTTTTAATTGTGACTTTAATGTGCATTTTATGATTGGGTAATGATGTTCAACATCTTATGTTTGCTGATTGGCTATCTCTGTAGCCTCTTTGATGCAGTATTTAATCAGGTCTTTTGTCCATCTTTTTTTTCTTTTTTTAAATTTATTTATTACTTGAAAGGCAGAGTTACAGAGAAGCAGAGGCAGAGGCAGAGAGACAGAAAGACAGACAGACAGAGGTGTCCTCCATCTGCTGGTTCACTCCCTAGATGGCCACAACATCCAGAGCTGCGCTGATCTGAAGCCAGGAACCAGGAGCTTCTTCCAGGTCTCCCTTGTGGGTGCAGGGGCCCAAGGACTTGGGCCATCTTCTGCTGCTTTCCCAGGTGCATTAGCAGAGAGATGGATCAGAAGTGGAGCAGCCAGACTCAAACCGGTGCCCATATGGGATGCTGGCATTGCAGGCAGCAGCTTTACCCACTTTGCCACAGGGCCAGACCCACTTTGTCCATCTTTCATTTGAGTTATTTGTTCTCTCACTTTTTAGTCTTTTAGAATTCTTCGTGTGTTCTGGATATGTATCCTTTGTTGAACATGTGTCTTGCAAATACCTTTCCTAATCTGTAGCTTGTTTTATCATTTTCTTGATCAAATGAGTGAAACTGTAAATATTACATCACATTTTCCTTCAGCTGTTGATTGCTCTTTTTTTTGGAGAAAAGTAAATTTATTTGAATGAGTTTACAGAGTCTAAATTCAAAATTTAGACTTTATGACTTGCAAGGTACACCTTCTACATCATTATGTTTCTTTTTCTATATACTTTTTAAAAATTTTTATTTAAGCTATACAAATTTTATGTATTTCCTATATACAGATTCAGGAACATAGCAGTACTTCTACCCTACCCTCTTTCCTGCCCATGATCCCACCCTTCTTCCTCCTCCCTCTCCTATTCCAACTCTTATTTTTTTTTATAACAATGTACTTTTTAAAAAAAGATTGATTGATTGATTTCAAAGGCAGAGTTACAGAGAGGCAGACAGAGAGAGAGAGAAGTGGGGAGGGGGGGTTCTTGCATCCATTGTTCACTTCCCAGATAGCCGCAATGGCCAGAGCTGCGCCAATCTGAAGCCAGGAGCTTGGAGCTTCCTCTGAGTCTCCCATGTGGATGCAGGGGCCCAAGGACTTGGGCTGGCCATCTTCTACTTTCCCAGGCCATAGCAGAGAGCTGGATCAGAAGTAGAGAAGCCAGGACTCAAACTGGCACCCATATGTGATACCAGCACTGCAGGTGATGGCTTTACCTGCTATACCACAGCACCAGCCACCCCCCCTCATTCTTAATTCTTATAAACATCTATTTTCAGTTAGCTTTCTACACATAAGATTAACTCAACACTAAGTAAAGAATTCAAAAAGTAGTATAAAGGAAAAAAATGTTATTCCTCAACAGTTGAGACAAAGACTGTAAACAATCATCAAATCTCAAAATGTCAATTTGATTCCTACAGATTACCTTTTAGGTACTCTATTAGTACCACAGATCAGGAAGAACATATAGTATTTGTCTTTTTGGCACTGACATTTCATTAAGTATAATGTTTTCCAGTTGCATCTATTTTGTTGCAAAAGACAGGATTTCATTTTTACTACTGTGTAGTATTCCATAGTGTATATATACCATGATTTCTTCATCCAGTCTTCAGTTGGTGGACATCTGGGTTGATTCCATATCTTAGCTATTGTGAACTGAGCTGCAATAACAATGGAGGTAGAGAGAACTCTTTTATCTGCTGATTTCATTTTATTTCGATAAATTCCCAGGAGTGGGATGGATGGGGCAAATGGTAGATCTATATTCAACCAAATTCAGTTTTGGGGCTGGCACTGTGGCACGATGGGCTAACACCCTGGCCTGAAGCACCTGCATCCCATATGGGTGCCGGTTCGAGACCCAGCTGCTCCACTTTTGATCCATCTCTCTGCTGAGGCCTGGGAAAGCAGTAGAAAATGGCCCAAGTCCTTGGGCCCCTGCACCCATGTAGGAGACCCAGAGGAAACTCCTGGCTCCTGGCTACTGGCTCTAGATCAGCGCAGCTCCTGCCATTGCAGCCAATTGGAGAGTGAACCATCAGATGGAAGACTCTGTGTGTGTGTGTGTCTCTCTCTACCTCTTCTCACTCTTTCAAATAAATAAATAAATCTTAGAAAAAAAAAGATCTATATTCAGATTTCTGAGGTATCTCCATACTGTCTTCCACAGTGGTTGCACCAGTTTACATTTCCACCAACAGTAGATTAGAGTACCTTTTTCCCCACATCCTTGCCAGCATTTATTTTGTTTGTTGATTCCTGTATGGGAGCCATTCTGACTGGGGTGAGGTTAAACCTCATTGTGGTTTTAATTTGCATTTTCCTGATGGCTAGTAATCCTGAGCAATTTCTCATGTGTCTTTGGGCATTTGGACTTCCTTTGTAGAAAAATGGCTATTCACGGTGCCGTGGCTCAATAGGCTAATCCTCCGCCTGCAGTGCCGGCACACCAGGTTCTAATCCCGGTCGGGGCGCCGGATTCTGTCCCGGTTGCCCCTCTTCCAGGCCAGCTCTCTGCTATGGCCCAGGAGTGCAGTGGAGGATGGCCCAAGTCCTTGGGCCCTGCACCCACATGGGAGACCAGGAGAAGCACCTGGCTCCTGGTTTCAGATCAGCGTGATGTGCCGGCCGCAGCACGCCGGGCACGGCGGCCATTGGAGGGTGAACCAATGGCAAAGGAAGACCTTTCTCTCTGTCTCTCTCTCACTGTCCATTCTGCCTGTCGAAGGAAGGAAGGAAGGAAGGAAGGAGGGAGGGAGGGAGGGAGGGAGGGAGGGAGGGAGGGAGGAAGGAAGGAAGGAAGGAAGGAAGGAAGGAAGGAAGGAAGGAGCTGTTCAAGTCTTTTTACCATTTCTTTTTTTTTAACATTTTATGCTTTTATTTAGTGAGAAAGATGCATAGGAGAGTAAGAGCTTTATTTAAGAGAGAGAGGTAGGCCAGCGCCATGGCTCACTTGGCTAATCCTCTGCCTGCAGCTCTGGCACCCCGGGTTCTAGTCCCGGTTGGGGTGCCGGATTCTGTCCCAGTTGCTCCTCTTCCAGTCCAGCTCTCTGATGTGGCCCAGGAAGGCCGTGGAGGATGGCCCAAGTGCGTGGGCCCTGCACCTGCGTGGGAGACCAGGAGGAAGCACCTGGCTCCTGGCTTCGGATCGGCGCAGCACGCCAGCCGTAGCAGCCATTTGGGGGGTGAACCAACAGAAAAAGGAAGACCTTTCTCTCTGTCTCTCTCTTTCTCTCTCACTGTCTAACTCTGCCTGTCAAAAAAAAAAAAAGGAGAGAGAGAGACAGGTAAATCTGGGTTCATACCGAGCACCAGGAACCAGCCACATGGAGGAGCATCTAGGCCAGGAAGCCTAGGGAATGTGGCCCAAAGGCCTCACGCCCTGTGGGCACAGGGCTACAGCCATCCCACTCCTCACTTGAGGCCAGGGCAAAGAAGAGAAGGCTGGACACAACGTGTCCCAGGCTTTTAACCCACTTCCAAAGGGGAGTGGTTAATTAATTTGATTGGCTGGTGTTGCCCATTTCTTAACTGGATTGTTTGTTTTGTAGTTGTTGAGTTTCTTGAGCTCTTTATAGATTCTGGATATTAATTCTGTATCAGTTACATAGTTTACAAAAAATTTCTCTCATTCTGTAAGTTACCTCTTCACTTTGCTAAATGTTCCTTTTGCAGTACAGAAGCTTCTCAGCTTAAAGTAATCTCATTTCTCAATTTTGGCTTTCATTACCTGTGCTTCAGGGATCTTTTCCAAGAAGTCTTTGCCTATGCTAATCTCTTGCAGAGTTTCCCCCAATGTTCTCTAGTAATTTGATGGTATCAGGTCATAAATTTACATCTTTTATCCATTTTGAGTGAATTTTCATGTGAAGCGTAGGTTAGGAGTCTTGCTTCATTTTTCTGCATGTGGAGATCCAGTTTTCCCAGAATCATTTGTTGAAGAGACTACCCTTGCTCCAGGGATTGATTTTAGCTCCTTTGTCAAAGATGAGTTGGTTGTATATGCATGGATTGATTTCTGGAGTTTTTGTTCTGTTCCATTGGTCTACAAGTCTGTTTTTGTGCCAGTACCAGGCTGTTTTGATTATAATTCCCTGTAGTGTGTCTTAAAATCAGGTATTGTGATGCCTCTGGCTTCGTTTTTGTTGTATAAAATGGCTTTAGCTATTTGAGATCTCCTGTGTTTCCATATGAATTTCAGCATCATTTTTTCTAGAAAGGGAAGAATGTCATTGGTATTTTGATGGGGATCACATTGAATCTGTAAATTGCTTTCTTTAAAGTTTATTTATTTATTTGAAAGGTAGAGTTACAGAGAGGGAGAGGCAGAGAGGTCTTCCATCTTCTGGTTCACTCCCCAGATGGCTGCAATGGCCCAAGCTGTGCTGATCTGAAGCCAGGAGCTTCTTCCAGGTCTCCCGCGTGGGTGCAGGAGCCCAAACCCTTGGGCCATTTTGCACTGCTTTCCCAGGCCATCAGCAGGAAGCTGGATCCAAAGTGGAACATCCAGGATTTGAAATGGCGCCCAAATGGGATGCCAGCACTGCAGGTGGCAGCTTTACCTGCTGCACCACAGCGCTGGCCCCTGTAAATGCTTTTCGTAGTATGGACCTTTCTCTCTGTCTCTCCCTTTCTCTGTAATTACCTCTCAAATAAATAAAAATAAAATATTTTAAGAAAAAACGAACATACTTTTATTTTGGTTTTTTTAGTTCTAAAGTTCCCATTTGTTTTTTTTATTTCATTTATATAGTACTTTATTTGCTAATATCTGTCTTCAGATACTCATTAAGTCATTTTTTAAAACACTTATTTGAAAGGCAGAATTAGGGAGAGAGCCAGGAAAAAGAGAGAGACATCTTCCATCTGCTGGTTCATTCCACAAATGGCCAAAACAGCTGAAGTAAGGTCAAAGCCTGGAGCCTGGAACTCCATTTGGATCTCCCACATGGTTGGCAGAGGCCCAAACACTTGGGCTATCTTACACTGCCTTCCCAGGTACATTAGCAGGGAGTTGGGTTGGAAGTAGAGCAGCTGGGTCTTGAATCTGCATGCATATGGGGTGCTGGCACCGCAGGCAATGGCTTAACCTATTGTACAATAGTGGCAAACCTTGTTCAAGCATTTTAATAATAAATCTGTATTCAGGTCTTTGGCATTTAATTCCAGAATCTGTAACCATTGCGATTGATGTCTGTTCTTTGTCTTTTCCTATATGTATTGAATTTTTATGATTTCTTTGTCTGCTAAGCAACTTTGGGTTTTATTCTGAATATTTTGGGTTTTTTATAAAAGATTTATTTATTTTATTTGAAAGATAGAGTTACAGAGAGGCTGAGGCAGAGAGGGGATGGGGGTCTTCCATCCCCTGGTTCACTCCCCCAGATGGCTGCAACAGTCATAGCTGCACCAATGCGAAGTCAGGAGCTTGGTCTTGGTCTCCCAGGCAGGTTCAGGGACCCAAGGACTTGGGCCATCATCTACTGCTTTCCCAGGCCATAGCAGATCAAAAGTGAAGCAGCCAGGACTGGTGCCCATATGGGATATTGGCACTGCAGGCAGCAGCTTTACCCGATACGCCACAGCACCAGCCCCTATCTGAATATTTTGAACAATACATTATGAAACTCTACTTCTTATTTATATCTTTTCAAAGTCTTTGCAGTGCTGTTTCAGTCTTTCCCATGTGTGTAATATTCATCAGTCAGTCTTGCACCTAGGCAAGTGTGTAGTCATTTGTACTGTTTTAAAGTATGGAATTACTAATTAGAATATATACAAGTACTGGAGTGAGCACATGAATTCATAAGCAAGTCTATAATATTACTTTGCTGCTTATCTCCTGTTATCTTCCCAGTACTTTCTGGTTTCTCAAGATTACTTTCTCAGGCCTCCATTCACAAATGGTAAAAAACAATGAGATCTGGTCCTTCCCTACTACAGCCACATCTCCACTGAACTGAGAAGATTCATGTCCTTGGAGTTTTAGTTTTGCAAGACTCCCATTCTTATCTGTTCTTCTCACCATCCTTGTCACAACAATTCCATGAACTGAGGCACAGAACAGAGGGGCAAAAATGATTGCCCACAACTCTCTCTAAATCCAGAATGAGAGCGTTTCTTCTTAATCTCGCTATTTGGACTACAGTACTCACTTCTGGGTTTTGGATTACTTTGGTTGCAGGTTATAGTCTATACAGGGGAAAATAATAAATTCACCACTGTTTCAATGATACCTTAATTCTTGTGTTCAACCTGCCCCAACTGCTAATATTTAACTTTTCAGAGTTTTCTCTATGTTTAGTAATTGAATTCAGTAGTAGATGAAAAGGTACGTGTATTTACTCCATTATATCTGGAAGCCAGAAATGTGCTTGCTTTCCTTCCTGTATTGGTGAGCTCCAATTGTCTTTATAAGATATTTTTAAAAATTTAGAAACTTTTACACAGAAATGCAGGCATGGATGATCACACAGTGGCAGTCACACTTTTCACTGGGCCGTGGTTGGAGTCCAGGGAGGCTCCAGATCTGAGCACTGGAATGGTCTTCCTGCTGCATAGAAGAGCAGACCCTCCCTCGCCCAGGGGAAACCCTGGAACACCCTGAAGCTTCTGGGATTCTCACGTGCAGCCTTTGTCGTGCCTGTTAAATGGAGGGATTGCTGTAAGAGCCTTAGCTGGCCCCGCAAGTGCCCGCGACCCTTTGCAATGGATTAAATCAGCTGAGTCTGTTTCGGTGCCCTTAAAGCTTTGGGGAACTCAAGTTTTCTAGGCCAGGGACAGTCCAAGGGAAGGGTGTCTGCAGAGCTGGGCTCCCAGGTCTTTGTCGTGCAGCGCCCACTCCCCAGAAGGCCTCAGCATCCCCCTCTCCCCGCTCCTTTCCCCTGCCTGCTCACCCCTCCCTGAGGGGGGGGGGGCTGTTCTACCTTTTGGGCCTCAAGCAAGGGTGGAGTCCCCAGGGTTTCTCAAGGTGAATGGGGTCACGTGTGGCCCCAGCGTCCCCGAGGCTCCTGGAACCTTCCCTTTGCCTGAACCGCCCATCTTAACAAATGGGCAGTGCACTCAGTTGCTGTGTATTCTAGAAATATCGCCACCACTTGCTCTCATATATTTTTCTAAGAAATTATGATTGTGCTTTGAAAAGCAGTACACATCAGGAACAACCTTATACTGCTTTGTGCCTTCCTTGTTGTGTCCCGCTGGAGCTGTCCTGGGGAGGCTGCTGCTCGCCTGTTGCTCCCGATGCCCCACCTGCCTCTCTGCAGAAGCACTACAGAATGTCCTGTGACTGGACAGTTGGCCTAAACTGTGCAGGAAATTACCTCCTTACTTACCCAGTAGAGTTCACTGTCACCAGACACGGTCCTCTGACGAAAGTACTGTGGTTTTATACGGATAATTTGCAGATTTATCTAATGTGCACTTGTGTACAGATTATTAAGTTTTATGATATAACCGAGTAATCAGTATTTGATCATCTTGCTTTTTATTAAAATGTATATTTCTAATCCTATTTTTAAAGCTGAGAAAAATGGCTGAGAAGGATGTTTATTTTCCTGAGAGTATTTTTTAACTTTTATTTAATAAATACAAATTTTGAAAGTACAACTTTTGGATTATAGCAGTTTTCCCCCCATAACCTCCCTCCCACCCACAGACCATCCCATCTCCTACTCCTTCTCCCATCCCATTCTTCATTAAGATTCTTTTTTTAAATTATCTTTATATACAGTAGGTCAACTTAGTATATATTAAGTAAAGATTTCAACATATTGCACCCACACAGACACACAAAGTATAAAGTACTGTTTGAATACTAGTTTTAACGTTAATGCACATAGTACAACACATTAAGGACAGAGATCCTACATGGGGAGTAAGTGCACAGTGACTTCTGCTGTTGATTTAACAATTGACACTCTTATTTATGATGTCAATAATCATCCTAGGCTCTTGTCATGAGCTGCCAAGGCTATGGAAGCCTCTTGAGTTCACAGACTCCGACCTTATTTAGACATGGCCATAATCAAAGTGGAAGTTCTCTCCTCCTTTCAAAGAAAGGTACCTCTTTCTTTGATGGCCCGATCTTCTTGAAAGTATTTTTAAGATAAAGCTTCACAATGGCTGTAATCTTTGCAGATATATGTAGTTTGATACATATTGTTGCATTTGGAAATCTTGTATTGTTAACCTGTTTTATATAAAATGAGTAGTGGAAATTTTATAATTACAACCATGTAATTAAAAGGATTAGCCAAAGACTATTTTTTACTGTTGTAATGAAGTTTATATAAAATGTTTCTAAAGATTTAGTTGCAAGAAACCTCATATATCTGTGTGGCAAGGGTAAGAAAAGTTGTGGTCTAAGAGCTCTCTGAAAATGAAGTCAGATGCACGAGGTAAATTCTGGTTCCTCTTTCTAGATAAAAGGAATACCTCAAAGGAAGTGTACTGTGGAGACTGACCATATGCTGTCTATTTTTAACCTGCTGGAAAAGCATGATGCATTTCCACAAGAACTGAGTGGAGGAATGAAGCGCAAACTGTCCATCATTATAGCACTAATGGGAAGCTCCAAGGTATTCATTGGGGAAAGAGACAGAATGCATGAGCACACAGTGTGACAGCAGAGAGGCAATTAATATTGGATCCTGCCAGCTGATCTAGAAAACTCAGCTGGCAGTAGCCTAAGAGTTGATCTGATGCTAACAGGAGGCTTGCTAATGATAATCAGTAGCCAAGCTGCTACAACATATTTTGGGATTCTTTTTTTTTTTTTCCTAGAGTTAAAAACCCTCTAATTTACTCTAAATTCTGTATCTTAGCTTAAATGTGTTCTCCTCAAATAATTAGGAAACCTACAAGTAGCATATCATTAATTATCAGTGGTCATGGAATTTTTCTTCTGACTTTAGGTACTGATATTTGATGAACCATCATCTGGCATGGACCCAACCTCAAGGAGGGTCTTCTGGCATCTCCTTCAGCAGTATAAACACAATCGTACCATCTTACTGACCACCCAGTACATGGATGAAGCTGATATCCTGGGTGACCGCATTGCCATCATGATCAAGGGTACCCTGCGCTGTTGTGGTTCTTCAGTCTTCCTGAAACGAAAATATGGTCTCTCTCCCTTTGATCATTCTTAAGATATTGTTATATTAATAATATTACCTTAATGTGATTTTCATTATGTTTTGACTGTATATTTAGAACTTCAGTAACACTCTGTGGCCTACTAAGTCTCAACCATTACAGTTGGTATTTAAAGTCCTTTGCAATATGTGTATTCCCAGTATATACTTAACACATATTCTTTAGCATATACTATCAGACACAGGAAGTCCTTTTATCAGCCTACAAATGCCATGCATATTTGTCCAATTTTGTACCTAATGACAGTTTTCTTTGTCTCTATAACATAGTTTTGCCTCTAGATGTATTTCTTTAAGTGATTGACTGATGAGGAGAGAAAGTAGAAAAATCAGACATCTCTGACTCTAGTTCTTTGCCAAATCAACACAAAATCCCTGAAGTGTTGAGATAACTCATAGATGTGGTAATTGACAGTAAGAATGTAGAACACAATGAAAGGATAACATAAGTAGAATAAAAATGCCCTTGTCTCTGGTAAGTATACAGCTTTCAAGGGAGATAAAATAGATATATTAAACAGTGAATTATTCAGGGCCAAAATTATAGAAATAGGCCTCCAAAACGAGAATATAAATGTAAGTGGAAATATAATTAGGCCGGCGCCGCGGCTCAATAGGCTAATCCTCCACCTTGCAGCATCGGCACATCAGGTTCTAGTCCCAGTCGGGGCACCAGATTCTGTCCCGGTTGCCCCTCTTCCAGGCCAGCTCTCTGCTGTGGCCCGGGAAGGCCATGGAGGATGGCCCAAGTGCTTGGGCCCTGCACCCGCATGGGAGACCAGGAGAAGCACCTGGCTCCTGGCTACGGATCAGCGCAGTGCGCCGGCCGCAGCGCTCCGGCCACAGCAGCCATTGGAGGGTGAACCAATGGCAAAAGGAAGACCTTTCTCTCTGTCTCTCTCACTGTCCACTCTGCCTGTCAAAAAATAAATAAATAAATAAAACTTAAAAAAAGAAATATAATTAAGGATTATTTGCTTCAGTGATTCATTTATTCAGTATTTAAGTTTATTCAACTCCAACTATCTCTACTGATTACAGTGCTACTCACCTTTTATATCTTATTGAAAACAATTCAAAATAACTTCATTATATAAAATTTATAACTGGGACCCAGATATATCAGAAAACCTCCCTACAATCATACTTAGATGCCCATTTGCTTGTTCAGAGTCTTCAATCACTTAATAGATATTTGTTTATGTTTCTTATATGATCAAAAAGTGGATACTAGCATATCAAGCATAGATCTTCTAGTTAATAACCTGTTTTATTTTGCTGGATTTTAGTAGGGAAGATGTCATTTTTCCATTTCACAAATTCTTCTACACAGTTGCCTTTTAGGGGTTCTATATCCAAAATTAGGCTTATGTCATCTGAATTGGCTGTTCCTGGGTTATGAGCCACATAATTTAAGCAGCTGTGCTTTTAAAAAATAAATCACTGGGGCCAGCACCGTGGCACTGTGGGTTAATCCTCCACCTGCGGAACTAGCATCCCATATGGATGCCGGTTCTAGTCCCAGATGCTCCTCTTCCAATCCAGCTCTCTGCCATGGCCTGGGAAAGCAGTAGAAGATGGCCCAAGTCCTTGGGCCCCTGCACCTGCACGGGAGATGGGGAGGAAGCTCCTGGCTCCTGGCTTTGGATCAGCGTAGTTCCGGCCGTTGTGGCCATTTGGGAGTGAACTAGTGAACGGAAGTCCTTTCTCTCTGTCTCTCCGTCTCGCTGTCTGTAACTCTACCTCTCAAATAAATAAATAAAATCTTTTTAAAAATGAAAAATCTTTTATAATTTTAAATTTTAATAATATTTTAATAAATTTTAATGTATTTTTTGATAAAAATAGTAACTAACATGTAACTAGCAATATAATTCTTGGGACATGCAAGTCTCTCCTAATGAAAGATAAATTTTATCCTTTTTATTTGTTGTTTTATTTATTTGAAAAGCAAAGAGAGATAGGCAGACAAAGAGGGATCCTCCATCTGATGGTTCATTCCCCAAATGCCTGCAATAGTTGGGGCTAGACCAAGCCAAATCCAGAAACTTGAAACTCAGTCCAGTCTGCCATGTAAGGCAGGGACCCAAGTATTTGAGCCAACATTGTTGCCATCTAGGTACATTTGCAAGAAGCTGGGTTAGAAGCACAGAGTAGCTAGCACTGGAACCCTGACACTCTAATGTGGAATGTGATGGCTTAACCCAGGGTGCCACAACACCTACACCTTCGTCTCAGTTTAACAGCCCTTCCTGAACATTTCATATCTCCCTTCCCTGCTTTATATTTTCTAACATGCTGTTGTAATGGTGGTTTCTGTTCAATTATCAGTCTTTAGCTAGTAAGTAAACTCTTATGAAGGTACAGATTTTATTTTGTAATAATTTTAGATTTATAGAAGTACTGTAGTTTTTACCTAATGTTGACATCTTACATAATGTTCTATGTATCAGAATTTTGAAAATAACATTGACATATTGATATTAACTCAGACTATTTAGAATTCATCAATTTTCTACTCATGCCCTTTTATCGTTTCAGTATCCAATCCACAACAGCACATAGTATTAGCA